CACGCGCGGTCCATGCACCGGTCAGGAACGGTCCATGGACCGCTTATTATCCGGTCACCGGTCATGACCCGGTCATGGACCGGTCATGACTCGTCCATGACCCCTCCATGACCCGTCCATGACCCGTCCATGACCCGTCCATGGATGGGTCATGGCCGGTCCATGGCCGGTCCATGGCCAGTCCACGGACGGGTCATGAACGGTCCATGGACGGGTCATGGACAGTCCATGGCTGGGTCATGGATCGGCCAGCCGGGTCATGGACCGGCCCTTGACCGGGTCACGATTTGGGTCATGGCCGGTCCATGGCCCGTCCATGGCCTGTCCATGGCCGTCCATGGACCGTCCATGGACCGTCCATGGACCAGGGCCATGACCTTACCCAACAACGCCACCCACTGAAAACGCAAGCAATATTGGGTAAAACCGCAAACCTTGACAGTTATCTAGGAAATACTTTTTATCTGTCCGTTCGAGGTAATACTTTGAACCATCGCATAGCACTCCGACGTCGCGGTAGATGAGCGCAAGGGACGGCTGTACCCTCCTCGCCATAAAAGCAGCACCGCAGCACGCAGGAGGAAAGATGAGGCATACAAAGGTATTATGGGCTACATATTATATGTACACTGAAAAAACGCTCCTGCGTCGCCTAGCTGATGCCGTACAGTGACGTGAGATACCACACACACCCTGGCCTGACTCTCAAAGCTCGACATCTCCGGTGGTGGTGCCGAAAACGGCGGTGTTGAAGACGTCTCGTCGAGAGCAATCCGAAAATGTGTTGTTCCATCAATGTGAATGCCTCCTCTTCGCGTTGGAAAAATCGGAATGAGTAATCGATCCGGGGGTGTGCTATCTTGCGTCACCTACGGCATGTCAAACATGTTTCACCTACACAATAGGACGGTGTGTACAGCAGTGTACGTACTGCTGTGGCTCCAAAAAATAGATGGGGCGAACACGAAGACATACACATGTTGCTCTACCGGCGAAATACCCCGGACAAACCGTTAGTCAATTGGTCCACAATTGACTATTGAAGTGGGTTCATGAAAAAGGTGGACACATCATTGTTGTCAACACTCGCTGTCCAGTGGGCCGGTGGGGTGCGTTTTTCTGCCGCTGACATCCCAGCTCCATTCAAATCATGTACCGCTCCCAGTGAGCGAAGGTACTGCTGTACCTTCACAACGAGGTGCGATATCTTGCGTCACGCTGAGGGGTTCCGAGTCACGGGTCGCCCGTATTGACAATCTACCGAAGGGCTCCGAGACTGATGTAGCTACAACACAGAGTAGCTCCGCGACGTTTTGCTAATAAACTTCAAGTTGTAAAGGCCCTTGCAGAAGGTGTGGCTTGGGGCCTTCACCTGGCAGCTGGCAGCAACAGTTATCACTACACCTACCCCGCCCAGCGGGCTGCATGGGCCTGTCGGGTGGCATCATCCCAGCTCCAGCTATGTGTGAAACATGATGAATCATAATCCCCCACGCGCAAGGCAGTCAGTAGGGTTCCGAGTTCCGAGCGTATCTGACAGCGGCATGTATATGGAAAAAGCTGCCCGTGATTGCTCTTACATCCCAATCCCGCGCTGGCTGCACTTCCCAAGCTTACTGGTTGTGCTCTCCCTCTACTGGCCATGCTGCGGCGGGGAGACATGTGCCGACGATGCGTGTGTGTTGGAGGCGAGGGAGTGACAAGAAGACGGAGTCGCAAAAACAACGGCAGGTAGGTAGCGTGGTCGTTTGGCGTGAAAAAGGACTGCTGCGTTCATTGATATACGGTCTACCGTCTACAGACTCAAGCACCAACCACTGTGTACCTGGGGGATCTTGATTCCCTATCCGCGGTTCCTTTGCTGTGGGAAGCGTGTGTGGCAGGAGCCGAGCGTGTGTGTGCGGAGCTGGGTGAGAGGCACAAAGGAAAAAAGATACCCCGCCCATGAAAAAAAAAAATCATGCGGGCCTGTGGGGGAACTGGGAACCTACAATTATAAACTTCGTATGTAAATGTATCATTTCGCCTGTTTTCGTTCTTCGGGACATCTTTCGCTGGCGCAAGTCAGTCGTTTCTGACGCTTCCTTCTCAGGGGCACGCGGGGGGATCGTCGGCACAATACCGCGCACGCCCGAGGACCACTATCCAGCCGTGGCGCGTGTGCTTGACGCCCAAAGTTGAAAAAACTGGCCCTAAGAACGATCGCACCCGGTGCCAACTCTCGGACTATTACACTATTACTTTAAGTACGTTTGAAAATTGCGGCGCTACATGCCAAGGTATAATCTAGTCCATAGGAAGAATTACAACTCTATGCTTCCAATATCTACCTTTGCTACATGCAGGCCGGCGCAAGAAGATACCCCCCCCCCCAAACGTTCTCCCCCCCCGGTGTTTGCCATCGGGGTTGGGTTTTCGTCGCTTGGCAACGACGTTGTAAAACAAGCCGCCCCCCCCGGTGTTTGCCATCGGGGTTTGGGTTTTCGTCGCTTGGCAACGACGTTGTAAAGCAAGCCCCCCACTCGGTGTTTGCCATCGGGATCGGGTTTTCGTCGCTTGGCAACGACGTTGTAAAACAAGCCAATTCACTTCGTGAACTCGGCAACCAGGTTACCGTTTTTTTTTTTTACCTCGGTTTTTTTTTTTGGCGGTAACCATAATGGTGGTCGAGTAGATCATGTTGTGCGGGGTGGAGAAACCTCACTCCGCGCAACGGGGGATGATCGTACCACGTTGTGTTAAAATGGTCAAGCTTCCTCGAGGCAGTTACACAGTGCTTACAACTGTCTCTGGAAGTAAAAGCACCAGAAAGTAAATTAAGTCATACGTAGCTGTCATCCGTACGCAAGGAAGTAAGCACAAGATGCCGAACACCCTTAGCAGGATGCAGCTCACCCTTCATGCGACTCGCCAAATACCTCACGGCGCTTCGCGCTTGGTGATGTGAGAGCCTGGTCCGGTGAGAACCCGGCGTGCTCCGTCCCGGCTTTGTAGGGATGCGAGGTCAATGGTCAAACGACTACGACATGCACGACTATGAGTACACCCCCCCCCCCCCCCCCCCCCAAACTTAATAAACAACAACTTTTTTTTCCCCCAAAATAAAAATTA